AATTATTTAAAGAATTAGATTTAGATAAATATTATTTGTAAATTTTTATTATATTCCAATATAAATTTTAAATAAATTTTATATATAATAAAATAATTCATAGATGTAACTAAAGATAATATATTTGTTATTATAATTTTCATGTTTCACGATATTTTTTGGTCACAGATAGATTTATTTCTATATTTTGAACATTTAGCTTTTAATATCTCGCGTTATATTTCCAATACTGTATTTGACCAATTTCCTTTTTTTGATATCAATAAATAAGATAATTCATTGTAGTTGGTAGATAATTGTTTAAAGTTATGATGTAATGTAAAAATTAAACCTTTGTTACGTGTTTAAATTATTTGATGTATACAATTTCTAGTCTTGCAGAATTATATATATAAATAAAATGCTAATAGTAAAAGTACTAGGCAATTTAAAAATTATAAAGCAAAATTCAGCATTTTTATCAATATTTTTAAATACACAAAAATACTATAAGATATATCTGGCTTGTTTTAGAACTTATGATTATATTTAAGAGATACACATATAAAAACATAAATTTAGAAGTTTCTTTTTATGGATTTGAATTTTATGTGTATAATATAGCGGCCTTTTCAGACAATGCCTATGCGATAAACCTTAATATTATTAGAATTGCCCCCTTATTTTTTGCCTTTATTTTTTACCCTACCTTATTATTTATTAATAATAAATGTTCATACAATGTGTTTTAGAAACGCAAAATTTGGGAAAATGTGGTGCAACATGTGAGTACAATTTATAACAAAATACAAATACGTAAATCCGAAATTGAAAGCCAGAAGAAGTATCTGCAGAGCTTTAAGCTAACCGAATAATAAGAGAAAATAACAATTGTGTAAGATGTGCATATATTCGCAAATTATTTTTATATTTCATAGCTATTTCAAATTATGTATTTAGATTCATTAATAGTGTTCGATGCATTCGCAAGTATACTTTACGATGCGCAACTCACCGATTTTCTTATCATTTTATAAACATAACGAAGTTGAACTATGCAGTTAATTATGTAAACGAAAGATAAGAGTTCTTAAAGTTTACAAAAAAATTAAATAAAAATACATTAAATACCATTCGTGCACTCGTAGATGTACTTATCTACTTTAAATAATTTTTCTCCTTGTGATAATATGTAATTTTTATAATGTATAATTAAGATTATAATATATGGTGTAAGTAATTTATTATTAGTACTTATATTTTCTCAAAAATTTGTTTTATCTCATTTGTTTTAACAATACAAAATTAGTTATTGAATTAGTTAAAAACTTTATTATCTTTTAAATATCATAAATATTTCGCAATAATCAAAGCATATTTTTGAAAGACAATTATATCTTTTTAATAACTTGTAATAAATAATTAAATATAGAGAAAATTGATATACTTTATAAAAACTTTTCAGAGAGAGCTGTGACAATAATATTATTTTTAAAAATCTGAAGATTATTAGCGATATATTATTTTTGTGATTGTGTCATTAGTACGAGAGATTAAATAATCTATCATAAGAAAAAACAGAAAAGATATATATATATATATCTTAAAATTTACTCAAGTGTAAAAGATAAAAAAGTCTAGTAAAAGCATTGTTCTAGCAATGATATCAACGATATTTGAGTGATATACATTTATTATAATAATTTTTCGATAGTGCTAATATGTTGCTAATGCAAGCATGCCCAGCGATTTTATATTAATATAACAAAAATTTTTTTTCCAGACATTCCCAGATTATCGAATGATAGATTTATTTCTTGTCCAAGTTCAACACGATTTTCTCCGTTTGGACGATGACCATGTGGGGCTTTTTACATCACATTTCAACAACTTATCTAAAAGTCTTTATCACATCAAAGGTATAGCAATATAAATTTATTTTTAATATATCTAATTATAATTTTATTGACATAATTTGTCGTAGCATCCATTATACTGCGCATGTTGCAACACGCAATTAGTGAAGAAATATTTTGGGAAGGCATCCGCTTATATGTATATAACACGTGAGTAATACATTATAATAAAATTGTAACTGCATAAATTTAAATATATTAAGTATAATAATAAAAGATTTTAAAAATTGTTTCTTATTTTTTCGCTTTTTGTTTCATTTATCTTGTTTTTTAGTTTTACTATAATGCCATTCTTTTAGATCTACTACTGATTTTTTTTAAATCCTAATTTTATTACTATTTCTATCATGTATATCATATAAACGAAAATATAACTTTATATTTTGATAATATTCATTAAAATTTTTTTACGATGTTTTAACATATTTGTAAATGTTAAATTTTATAAATTTTGAGAATTTAGCGAGCCAAATTACGGCAGTCTTCAAAGAGCTATATTGATAGCTATCGCTGAACAACAAACCAATACAAATCAAGTATACAAACCAGATATATTAGGAGTGGTACAAGCAATGGAGACTTGGCCAGAACAAAAGCATTATCCTATCATAAAAATAATACGAGATTATAATGATCCTATGAATTCAATAAATATAACAATACAAAATTTTAATACATCAAAGTATTATTGCATACCTATATCTTTTACTACGCAAAAGTATCCCAATTTTGACAATACTTCAGCTCAAATTTGGCTAAATAAAATACCGTATTACTCATTTGAATTAAGTTTCAAAGAAGATGGTTGGATGATATTTAATATACAACAAACTGGTAAATATTTAATGATAAACTTTTCCATATTTATTTTATACAATTAATGTTTCACATTATTTTAAATTTTTATCTACATTATTTTATAAAAATCTAAGGTATACATTATATAACTATAATATTATTTTATAATATAATATATAGTATAACTATATATTATAGTTACAGAAATTGTATTGTATAGTAGTTTGATTATTATTTACTGTAACCAGAAACGGTTTTATTTTATATTATATAAAAAATATCTCGCACAATTTAATTTTTTGTATGCTATTTTAATTATCAGAGTAACAATTTTATAATTAATATTTTAAATTTATATTTGTTATTTTTTTATGATATAGTCAATTTTTAGTACATTCTTAATGTATTTTTTATATAAATAACAATATGTGTGTGAACAGATATATGAAAAAAAATATTATGATAAATTTATTTGATAGAATAATGATTGATAAAATTTCTTTATTGTTTGACAGGATATTATCGCGTGAACTATGATGATGAGAATTGGCGAAGAATTTCGAATTATTTAAATCTTGAAAATTACATGAATATACATGTTTTAAATCGTGCCCAACTTATCGATGACGCGTTTCATTTCATGCTAGCACGCCAACTCAATTCTTCTATATTTTGGAATCTCGTAAGTTATCTAGAGCGAGAGACAGATTATGTGGCATGGTATCCTATGCTCAAAGCTCTGGAATACATATCGAGTGTCTTTCCATTACCGGAGAAAAATGTGGATGTTATCAAGGTAGATATTAATAAATTTCAATAAAGATATTATATTCTAGATTCTAGATGTTTACATATAAATATAATGGCTTTATATTAATATTTATCAAGCAATTTGTAAAAAAAAATAAAATACGTGCAGCTGAAGAAATTTAATTATATTTTCTCAAAAATTTGTTTTATCTCATTTAATAATATAAAATTAGTTATTGAATTAGTTAAAAACTTTATTATCTTTTAAATATCATAAATATTTCGCAAAAACCAAAGCATATTTTTGAAAGATAATTATATCTTTTTAATAATTTGTAATAAATAATTAAATATAGAGAAAATTGGTATACTTTATAAAAACTTTTCAGAGATGACTGTGACAATAATATTATATTTAAAAATTTGAAGATTATTTGCGATACGTTATTTTTATGATATAATTGTGTTATTAGTACAAGAGATTAAATAATCTATCATAAATAAAAAAACAGAAAAGATATATATATATATATCTTAAAATTTACTCAAGTGTAAAAGATAAAAAAGTCTAGTAAAAGCATTGTTCTAGCAATGATATCAACGATATTTGCGTGATATACATTTATTATAATAATTTTTCGATAGTGATTAAATGTCGTATAATATTCATGTACTATATCATATGTAATCTTTCCACCGGACTTGTCGAGAGCCTCGACAATTTCTTTCCTCAGAATATTTTGAAGATCAGGTTGCAATGCGAGTTCGTACAACGCGAACGCCGTTGTCGTTGAAGAGGTTTCGAAACCAGCGCTGAAGAAACTGGCTGCTTGCGCCATAAGATCATCCCCGTCGAATTCTAGAATTCAATTGATCTGTAGACTTTTAAAGGCTCTTATCATTTACGCCATAATTAACTTCAATTATCGGAATTATTGCTCTGACGTATCGGTTAGTCTAATAACGTCATTACAAATTTTATTACGTTATCATAAATTATCTTTTTATTTATTTTTGTCAAATATAATTAAAAAAATTTTGTATAAGTTTTAAAAATAACCATCGTTTAGTTCTGTTTTGCTTACTGAATCCGTTGTAATCCTGATCACCGTAATCTTTTTTCAGTTCAAGAAGAATGTCGATGAGATCGTTTCTCTTTATGCCAGATTCCATGCGATGAGTGATTGTCTCCCAAAAAACCTTGCGCAAAAAAACGGTGGGCTGCTTGCCGAACATCTTTATATGGGTGAGTCGAACTATACTTGGAAGGAAAAATATCGCGAGCATCTCCAAGCCGCGAATGGTATCGTATTGAAAGATCATTTTGCCGTATTTGCGAAACTCAGCGTTTGGATCCTTGAATGAATTCACATCGAGTCCATAAGCGGTGCTGCCGATGACATCCGTAGTAAATTTGGCAGTTAATTCTCTCACTTCAATCATCTCTTCTTCACCTGCCAGCAATGTTATCAACTGATTTAATCCATCTAGTTGTAAGTATCTTGTACAAGTTATCACACACGTTTTTATGAAATTTAGAAATGCAGCATTTGCGCATTTTTTCGTTTTTTTAAACAAATTCGGATTCTGTAATAATAATTGTATGATTTAATATTGAGTTGACTTTCATAAAATAAATTCTTGAAATTTTTCGATTATACATCTTTTTATGCTTATAAATTCAATCAATATATGATTACATTCGAACATTTTTTTCAGTTTACCGTATGAAAAGAATGGCGACAATTTCATTCTTAGCATTTTCCAAGTTGGATTCCTTAGAAAAAAGAGATTGTTGCAACCCAGACGATCTTTGGGATCTGCCATAATATATCGGTCGGGGAAGATATTAAATTCTTTTACTAAGATGTTCTTGACGAGTTCCCGATCACGAACTAACAAGAAGGGCTTGTCAAAAATATATAAACCGAAGTAAGGTAGCCCCTTTGCTTGCTCGTATAACTCCTTTAAAAAATACGCCGGCGCTTTCCTTAGCAATAGGCATTCCGTGAAATTGCCTACGAAAGGCGTCGGTGGAACGATTTCCGAGATGCCCCGTTTCTTCCAGTATTTAAAATTGCGTGTCATATAGAGGTAGACGGTTATCATGAGAGTCGTTAAAACTATAATGCCGTCCAAGCCCCAGTAAGCAGTTATGAGTGCCATTTTAGTTTGTCTATAAAAAATATTTTTTTGCATTTATATATATATATATAAGTAGATGATATTATATTTTAATGATATAAACAGAGTATTAAAAAAAGAATTCAAGATTTTAAGGGCAAGTAGTATTCACAAAATGAAGGAAAGAAGTTGTAATAAACATAAGTCGAAAAATTAATATTGTCTCATCCCGAGAACAACGCAATAATCTCAAACGTACGATGTTGATCCTAAGTTAACTTTTCGTGATTTCTTGCCAAGATTATGTCAAGGTAGATTTTTTAAGAATAGAAGTTCCCACTTTTAATTGCATATTTTTCGAGACACTGTAATAAATTCTTTTTTTATTTTATATATTTTCCGATTACGAATTTACGGTACTTTCGATATTTAGGAGGTTTGCAGGGTGCTTTATTTTATTTTTTATTTTTACTCTTATTTATGGCGATTTAACGTTCCGTTGCTCTAGAATATTGCTTTATTATTTGAAAATATCAAGGTTTTGTTCTAAAACTCATTGAGAAAATTCAATTCAATGCTTTCTGTCTTCTTTTTGCTTAAGGCTTGAATAATATGATATAATAAAGTTTCTGTCATTTTCAAATTTTATGTGCTATTGAAATTGGTATCCTTGATCGATAATGTTTTATTTTTCAAATACTAATATGTGGATTTAAATTAATGATTGCTAAAACTGGAAACACATAAAAATTATCATGATTATCATGAATTCGTTTTTTAATCACATGAATCGCCTGGAAGAAAAAATAACGCTGAATTGGAAATCATATCGGATGCGGTCTGATTGCTACATGATAATTACGTGAACATTCGTCTAATATGAAGAGAATGCTAGATTAAATTACAATTAATTATTGGCAAAAAGAAAAAACAAAATATTTAAAAAATAAGTTTTTCAGCACAACGTTCCAGAACGCGACAGTGTACGATTTGCAGAAATAAAATGAACTTCCGCACCACACACGCGATTGCATTTATACATTGCAACGTATGTTTTTCCACATCTGTTTCTCATCGGCAAAAATTTTACTATTTTAGCGTAATAGCAAGTCAGATATGCAAGACGTAATGACTTGTAGGTTAGCTCTGATTCGTAAATAATCTGAATAGTATTGAATATTCAACTTTATTTTTAAATGCAGATCAACGACATACGTTTGAATGATATTGAAAAGGTACAAAAACTGACATATACTTCTCCTAAAAAGAAAGACTGTCTAATAAAATATGCTACATTAAAAAAGCAATTGGTTATACAAATATATCAAACTTGAATGAATGAGACATGTTGTACAGAAGATAAATTATATACAACGAACGTTCGAGACAGGATGTCAAGTCTCTTTATATCGCATGATACATATTTATAAATATGTCTCTATCTATCTCGAAGGTTTATTTTATAACATTTGCTTTCTGATAACATGGGTGACTTACTTGTTCTGTATATTATTATTACACACATTTTTAATATAATATATTTCATTTACTTTGTAATTGCGCTGAAAAGGGTCCAAAAAAAGAACCGAAACGTATGCTTTTTATGATTATGCCTATCATCACTTATTATTAGTTAAAATGTCAATGTAATTTGATTGTAATTTGATAAAACATATGCGCACAAATTACCGCGCTGGCTCTTAATTGCTCTTTTCCCCCTATTTTATAATCTAAATATCGAAATAGCAGTATTCTTTTTAAATGTACCATTCTTTTCTTCATTTTTTTTACCACAATTTTTACCACGTTTCTGTAACTTTTAATGAATATGTCGGTTTCGGGAACAAATTTCTTAATTTCTTTCTAGTTTGTTTTCAACAATTAGCTCTTACCGTCGAATATAGGACACAGAACATAGAACGCTAAAATATATTTCAATACGAACACGCGATAATAAGCTACTATGATAAAATAAACTCCTGCATCATATTGGCGAGTGTATTTATACATCTTGAAATCTTTTCTCTTCCTCTCTACAGATGTTATTAACGTAATGTCGCGAAGGAGATAGTTGCATGACTGCATAATTGATGTACACGCAAATTCTTAAATATTTTTAAGATCTTTTAGTCACTCTTATTGTATCCTGCCATTATATCCGCTTGTCAGAGGGATGAGGGAAAAAAATCAGTTTCTTTCTTTATTATTGTTGAATACTATAATTATCGATTTAACGAAAGATATCAGTATTGTGACGAAGTTACAAGTGCAAATTATTTTTTTTGGCGAGTATGATTTTTAAAGTTATGCGATTTCTACTTATAGTAACGAATAGTATAAACAATTCAATTAATGTCTTGATAAATTTACAGTTTATTTATTAAAAATACATCCGTTGCAATACTTCAGAGTTCGTTCTTTTCTCTTTTTTTTTTTT